CTCCCACCCACCAAGGGAACCTTCAGGTGACCAACTGCTGCCCCTTGTGGGACCAACGCCCTGCATGAAACCAGTCCACCACAATATGTTTATAAAAAATAACAGTAGCACATGCTTGCAATTCCAGCACTTAGGAAGCTGAGGCAGGAGGATTATCATGAATCTGAGACTAACCTAAGCCACAGTGTGAGAGACTCTGTCAAGAAAGAAAGAAAGAAAGGAAGAAAGAAAGAGAGAGGGAGGAAAGACTGGAGAGAGAGGCTTGTCCCTGAAGCTTGTCTTAAAGGGGGTTACTGACTGTGAGGAGCTCCCCAGGCAGACAGACATGTTTCAGGCTTGCAGTAGCAACCAAAAAGGGACCAGGCAATCCATGGGCTCAGGGAGGCTGGGGGGCTGGTCCCCAGGATCCCCTGGAAGCTTGAAGTGAACCATCCTGCTGTCCTGCTTTCCACTCTGCTCCCTGCCCCCAACCCCACCCAGCCTCCCTGAAGCTTCCTCATGCTGAGGAATTTCTCATTCTTGTCATCTTTGCCCATCGCCTCGCTGGATCAAGGGCAACCAGGCTTTGCAGCATGTCCGGTGAAGAATGGAACCGCTCTGGCAATCAGACCCTCTGTGCTGACAAACCTGAGATGAGGTGGCTCACATGGTGATGGTGTCAAATTAACTGTCCCTTGGCTCCTGCTCTGCTCTGCACATCAGCCAGAGCTCTTGAGCATCCCTGGGCTGACAGCATCACCCCATTAAGCACACAGGTCAGTGGTTCTCAACCTGTGAATCATGACCCCCTTTGCCGGAGTTGCCCAAGACCATTGGAAAACATAGATATTTACATTATGATTCATGATAGTAACAAAATTACAACTATGAAATAACAATGAAAATAATTTCATGGAGTCACCACAACAGGAGGAATTGTATTAAAGGGTCACAGCACTGGCATAGGTAAACTACCTGGGGTCTGGAAGTGCGGGCCCTAACTACATGTACTGCTTGACAACCCATGACAAGAGTCTAAACAACCCGGCCTTTTTCTACCACCCCACTTCACCTTCTCAGCCAGATGACGAGAGATGCTGTAGCAAATGCTGTTAGTAGGGCTCTGGAAGCTCTGGTATGCCAAGCTTAGTAGGCCAGTTAAAGACAAGTATAGTGGGAAACAGAGGAAGAAGATTTACTCAAGGAGGCCGCATTGGAAGAGGAGTAAAAAAATCTAGTGACCGCCCCCAGTCCACTTTTGGGGTGCTGGCATGAGGTTGAAGTTTAAACTGACTGCAAGAAGCATGCATAACTAGGCAATTCTAATCAAGGTGCCACCACATTTAACCATCTGTCTCTGCTGCAGTCTCCCAGCAAGGTGATCTGACCAGTTGTCCGAATTCCTCAGGTTTGGCACCAAGCTTGAGTCTTTTAATTCTCCAGGCATGAGATTCCTGGGGCATTCCTATTCCCATGGAAACATTGTTTCGGCAGCCTGACAATCAAAGGAGGGCCACAAGTCTCTGTAGAACATCTTCATGACTGCTGGGATGCTTCCAATGCCACTGATAGCAACAGTAACAAACGGGATGAAGACCTCATCCCCAGCATCATTTAATGCTACACAATGTCCAACAATTTATGTCTTTTTCAAGTTCATCCTCCTGAGGAAACTGTCTTCAAATATGGTCCCCAACAATTCTGCCCTTCTCTGAGCACACAAAGGGTTTAAGACTCAATCTCTTGACTTGAGGCTGGTCCCTACACTCTCTTTGCCTATGAGGGCCCCTCCAGGCTTCTCTGCTCTGGCATTGTGAGAACTTGAAACCATGAAGGAGAAGAAAGGCCCCTGATCATCACTCCAGCTGAGCTTTCCAAATGCCAACCATTTCAGTGAAGGCATTTAGGACTATCCAGTCACCTGAGCCCATGCCAATGTCATAAAGAAAAACAGTTACCTGCTACCCATGGAAAAATAGTATTTTAAGCAACTGCCTTTGGGAAATTTGGTTATGCTATTTTTTGCATATGCAAAATATGCAATAATTTGCACTATTATTTGGTGCATAAGAGAAGTTATGCACAGAGAAATTGGTGGATGTAGGAATTCATTCTACCACTAGCTTTAGGGTACTGGCCTTAAGTCATGACTCCTCTCCCTCCTTTTAAGAGATCACATCTGCAGACAAGGAGCCACACCTTAAGACCAGTACCCCAAAGCTATTCCAAAGTGCTCCATATGGAGCTTGCTTTTTTTTCTTGGCAAAACTGGCCTATTGGGCAAAGAAGTGCCCTTACCTTGACTTCTGACAGTAAGTATGCTGTCCAGCCCAGACAAGCAGGATACAAGGAAACATGACTGCTGAACCTTGCCAAGACAGGATAGGACAGTTTTTCAAATTTTTCTGCTTCTAAAAATAGTCTGTCAGATATTCTAGGCCTATAGCCAAATTGGTTGCCCAATGTTGCAGAGAGATTTTGGGTGACTCTCCAGGTAGCCAGTTGTTTCTGTCATTTCTTACATCTCTTGGAAGTTGCTTGCATGCACTTCAGGATTACTCAGGAAATACTATTTTGTGGGGGTCGCTCCACGCCACGGGGTCAGCGTCACCACCCACCTCCCACGAGTTCTATATTGTCCTAGGGGTTGAACACAAGACACACACAACACAGATAGAGAGTTTCGAGTTATCCTCAAGAAGAGAATGCCCAATTTATTTAGCTTAATCTGGGGTTAATATACCCTTTTGCCCCAGTAAAGAAAAACTCCTCCCACCCAGAGGGGGCTGGAGAAACTGGCGCCTGTGAGAGCTTTTCCGCAGGCAGGTGGTCGAGGGTACAAGGCAGTGTCAGACAGGTAAGATGGACCTTGGCGCCTGGGCTCTTCCAGGCAGGTTGAGAAATTACCATTTAAAGTGATACAGAACCCTTGGGCTATTATACCAGGCTAGAGTAGAAGCAAGCACGGAACTTAGCAGGAAGCTTAGCTGGTTAGCATAAACATTTCTTGCATCCTGTGTTTTGGCCTCCAGGAACAGGGAAGAGAGGGCCTCACACTATTTTCCATCTCGGGCCTTTAATGGGATTGAAGACTAGATGGTCACCATTACTATCTTCTCTTAGCTAAGGCATATTAGGTACAAGACTTAGACTCTTCAGGATAGGACAGAATGTGACTGTCTTTGAGAGCTGTTTCCTCCCACTTTATAATCCTCTCTAGTGCTTGGATTAAAGGCATGCACCACCCAGTTTCTATGGCAACTAGTGTGGCTACTGGGATTAAAGGTGTGTGTCACCTCTGCCTGGTCTGTTAGGCTGGCCAGTGGGGCTGTTTTACTCTCAGATCTTCAGGCAGTCTTTATTTATTAAAATACTAATGAAATGTCCTACCCCATGACATCAATGTCTCTGAGAAACTATGTGAGACAGGAAAGAGTTACTTTGGCTGGACGTTGTGGACATCTCCATGGAGAGCATGTTGTGGGAGCAGAACCACACCCTTACTGCAGCCAGCAAACAGGAGAGAGCTCCTTAACTGACTTCCTCCTTTTCTCCTTTGTCATACCCAGTCCTTTAGATTATCGGGCAGTGCCCCCCATGTTCAGAGTGGGTCTGCTCCCCTTCAATCAGTATGCTTTGGAAAACTCTTCACAGACACAACCAGAGGTGTGTTTTGCATTGGATGGTCATTCTTCAACCAATGAACTAATCAAGGTTAACCACAACACCAGGCAGGCCCAGCCATGTCTATCCCCACAGTCCTGTGCTTTCCTGCTTTACTGTTTGCTAGCCACCCCTCGTTCCCCTAGTCCTCCACTGTAGTTATAATTATTTGTGACCATTTTCTCTGCTCAAATTATTTCCTTCCCTTCAAACCTAGATGATATAGTCTAGCTGGCAACCCTTACCCACGCTCCCAACTGGCAGCCAGCACCAGGACCAGCCTTGTCAGAGTGGCTTTGAGAATCTCTCAGTCATCAGAGTGCCCAGAAAGATGCCAGGTAAAGAGAAGGAGCTTGCCTGCAACCCACAGTCAAGAGAAAGCAGGTGGAGGAAGGAAGTTGTGTTTGAAGCCTCCCTGACTGGAATCAGAACTCAGTGGGTGGGAGCACTTGCCTAGGATGTGCAAAGACATGGATTTGGTTTTCAGCACTGGTCAAAAAATATTTATTTTAAATTTTAAAAAGGACACCGCTCTGGAGAGATTTGCTGTGTGCCATCCTTGCCCAGCATTCTTGCCCACACAATGAAGGCAGCGTTGCCCCATTTTGCAAGTGAAGAGCTTAAGTCTGGTGAGAATGAGGCCTGCCTGCTGTGCCAGAACCGGAAATAGCTAAACCAGAGCTGACCCCAAGAGCAAGGCCCTTCCCTCACCTCAAAGAGCTGGGAGCTTCCTCACTCTCCAGCAGGGAAACTGAACACTCAGGGTGGCAGCAGCTCGCTCATTCACCCACAGTAGGTGACAGCCGCCGCAGGCCGCTCTGAATACCAGCTCCTCAGACCCTGGCCTGCCAGGGGCTCCTCTCCTCCTCCCCTCTGCCGCTCACTACCTTCCCTCCATTCTCCCAGTCCCTTTCTCAAGCACTGCACCCAGAATTGCCTTTCAAGAAAGGGCAGCAAAATGACTGTGCTGAGAAGTCCTAGGTGACATTTCCCCTTGTCTAGAAATAGCTTTTTTTTATCACAATAAGGGGAAGAGAAATACTGCCTGCATCTGGTGACGGGGCAAGGATGCTACAAAATAAGAAGTCCCAGGAGAGCTCAGGGACAGTCGCCCAGCCGCTAATGCATAGTACTGAGGCCTCAGTTAGAATACTGACTACCCCACAAGACTCTCTGTCTTGAATCTACCGTTGTTGTCCCCAAGGCCTGTTTTCTCCAAGCCAGAGAAAAAGTGCCTACTGCAGCCTTGGCCTACTGAAAACACCCAGGTAGCTGGTGGGATCCTGAGACCTCTGTCCAAGGCACCTGTCATAGGCAGCATTTTGGAGAGTCTGAGGCACAGATTTGATTCGCTGCAATTAGTTTATTGGGAACGCAAAGGGAGACAAAGGCAAAAGTGCAGACAGCTGGGTCCCTGGTTTGGGAGGAGCTGCTGCAGGCAGACCCTGAAGGAGATACTCTGGGTCACGTGGTCTCTTGCTGAGCGGCAGGAAAACCAGCAACCACGTTGATCTGCATGTCCAAGCAAAAACATGCTAGGGACCTGGCGGTCAAAGAGGATCCAGGGCAGTGAATCCTCCAAGACCTTAAGACCAATGAATCCAGTAAAAACAACAGAAGGGGAAATGAAAGCAAGAATCGTCGGAGAAAGTTGCTTGGGAAGGCTAGAGAATGAGATGGAGGCGTCGAGGCCACTGTCCTGCTGTGCAGTCACTTTGGGAAGGGTGAGGGTGGTGGCAGTATTGCGGCTTCCTAGCACTTCTTACAGCCTCCGCTGCAGGAGCCCACCCCGGCGCAGGGGGCGCAGGCATTAGGGGTGCCCACCACCACGTTGCCGCTGCAGGGGGCGCTGCACACTCTGGTGTTGACAGCAGGGGCAGTACCAGAGACGCAGAGATCGCCAGAAACGACGCCACCGCGGGAGCTGCTCACGCCTGAAAGCAGGGAGAACAGGAGAGGCGTCAGGTACCGCTGCAGCCCGCTCTGCAGCAAGCGCATGTGTTCCCGCCCCAAAGGCTCGCATCACCCGGCAGGAAAGGGGAAGACTGGAATTACTTACACACATTCACGGAGCCAACGCCCTCACACAACCTGTGAAAGCGGAAAGGGAGACGTTAGTACACCGGAAGCATGGAGCAAGTGCCATCGTGGGTCCGCCTAGGGAGAGACTGGGAAACCAGGAGCTGGAGGTAGGCCTGGGAGCACTATGTGAAGTCAGGAGTCAAAGTATACTATCCTCCATCTCACCATGCTTATTCTCTGTGAAGCCTGAATTTTAGCCTCCCCAGTGGGGTCTAGGTAACCTCCCAGAATAATCCAATTGTTCTTGTGGCGACAGAGAGACCTAGACACACATGCCAAGACCCTGGCTGCTGTTGCCCTGTTGATTCTGAGTTGTGAGTACATTCCAGGGGACCAGATGTGACCTTCTAAATCTTATCTGATGGTCATCATGAAAATATTAGCCTAAAGGAAACCAGAGCATTTTGCCCCAGTGTCTGAAGACAGTGCCGGTCATCACAAATGACTCCTGGTGAAGAGATGAGACATTAGAAACCTAGAGCCAGCTCGGGACCACCAACAGCAGTAATCTCACTGGGCACCCACAGAGGAAATGGCCAACAGCAGAGAAGGGCTGAAATACCAGCTGCACCCAGCCTGTATCTCTTCCACTTGCCATCATCTCCCAGAAGAGAGCTAAGCAGAGTTGGAGTTGTCCAGAACACACAATGGCCAAGGACTGGTAAACTCAACCTCAGATCCCAGCGACCATTCCTCTCTGGTCTCTTATGTAACCACTCCCCCTGCCACCCACACACTCAGTGTGGTGGAAAAGCTGTGGTCCCGTTCCCAATGCTATGTCCATCTCTCTCTCCAACTTCCAGACCCCTGAGTACCATCACCCTGTGGACCTGGGTTTCCCAAGCTACTTCACTGTGTTGGGGGGTCTCTCTATGTGGTCACACAGACTTCCAGGTACCAAGTCTGTGTCCCCCATGTCCCCAGTACACACAATTCTCAATCTACATGCCACCCTGGAGGCTGGCTATACACAAAAAGCGGCTCCAGGCACAACCAAATGGCTGACCGGAAAACATAAAGCAAAGGTACAAAAATAAGATCTTGGTTTAGAGTGGGATACTTAAGGGGTTGGGTTGTAAGGGCCCCTCCACATCAGGAAGGCAGAATGGCCAGGGCTTCCTCCGCCTTAGCCAACTCCAAAGCGCAAAAATTAACTAAATTCTTCTGCCGCCCTCTACCGCTGTCTGAACTGCAATGGGAGAGCACTTTAGGACACTTATTGTCAATTAGCTAAGCAGAAGTTGGTGGAATCTGCTACCACAGGCTGCTATAATGAAATAAGTCTGAATTTCCAAGGTTGGGGGGATCTAGCCAGGGCCAGGCTAGGAAAGAAGACGGAGCCCTGAGGATACATGCAGACCGTAATGGGGAAAGGGAGACAACCCTAGGGATGACTCCAACTAGGCCTCAAGGGAGCAAACCCAGTGCTTCCCTGGAGGGAGCCTCAGAGACAGTCAGCCTGAAGAAGTGTGGTGAAGCGAGATCAAGGTTAAAGGACTTACACGGATCTCCTATGCACGTGCAGGGTGGTGCTGAGGAAGCGAAGATTGACAGGTACCCAAGCTGTAGGGCTTAAAGCTGAGGACCCAAGAGGGTTGGAAGAATGCAAAGCTACAGGACCCACCTCTGCTCCTCGCCCTCCAGCAGGCGCCTGTAGGTGGCGATCTCGATGTCCAG